GCATGTATGGCTAGTCATACTCTCATTAGTTAAATAATCAGAGAGCTTAAATAGATAATCTTCTAGTTAGGTTGCAGGTATAGCGGCTAGTATAGAACCCAGGCGGACTACTTAAATTAGGTACCAAAAGTACATGTGTGGCTAGTTGTATCATTGTGAAATTGATGTAATATCGTAATTACCTGAATAAAGCTAAGTGCCGGGAACCTAAGTGGTCACCTTAATATATATTTAAAAAAAAAAAAAAAAAAAACTTAATTTATATACTATATCTAATTTTTGAATTTAATTGGTCAATTGTTTAAAATGCAATATATAAGTATACTGTATCATAGTATATAATACTTAATTAAATTCTATTTATATATCTGATATATATTTATTTTGGATACTAATTTATTTAATTAATAGACTAGACTATTTGACCAATTCAACCAGACTATTTGACCAATTTGACCAAACCAGTTTGACCAATAAATTTTTGGTTGACTAGTAATTTGACCAACCCTGAATATATATATAATATAAATTGAATATAAAATCACAATTTTAGTTCTTATAAGGTTTTCGGGGGCCCTGGACATTTTTACTTAGAGTACCTGATCCTGTTTACTTAGTACATTATTGAGATATAGCAACACTAGTGATAATCACCAATGGTGATAAATAGCAAACTTGTTAAAAATTTTGTAAATTTACTCCTGTGCATTATTGCACGGGTTTACAACTAGTTTTATAAAAAAAAATTTACATGCAATATATGTGTGACAAATCGTGTGACTGATATTATGACTGATTAACTATGCTTTCTACGAAGTCAATCTATATAACGTATTTTTTAATTTAAAAAAATCTATCAGAAATAGTAATAATTTATTAGGGTTGAAAATCTGCTCAAATACGGTTGGTTCAGATACAATTAATAATTATCTGTTATCGTTATCCAAAGATCATGTGATTAATTTTACCCGCGAGAGCCAGATAGCCAAGGTTTTTAGTTTAACGTTAAAATTGTCGTAAGAATTTCGAAGCATTATATTTCTTAATGGTCCAGATAACTCTGAGGACTCTTTTCGCTAGCTTTGTGGTCACAGCACTACTGATAATTTGCGTCAGAGCAAGTGAGGACTTCTTGGTAAAGTTTTCTGCTAACTTATACTTGCTCAAGCTGTCCCTGCTGTTAAACGTCCAGATTTGCATTGCTTTGATGACATTTCTCTTATTTGTATGGTTTAATTAGGACAATGATAATAGTCAACGATGTTCTGGAATGTTTGATAAGGCCGCAATTCCAGGAGGGGCGGATCCAAAGATTACTTGTGCGTATTTTGAATTACGGAAATGATTAAATGATTTTAATCTGCTATTTAATTATTTATTAAATTGAAAATTTTACTAGTAAAATATGACAAGATTTCAGAGATAGGTACATCAGTGGTTGTATACGAATACTCAGATTCTGGTAGTATTGGATATTTCGAGGAAGGAGAGGCAAGTATTTTTTGTAGGTTAATTTGTGATTTATTCTCGAAATAAATCTAATTATTAATTAATTAAATTCAGAAAAAATTAATTTGTGATAAAATAGCGATTAAAAACCACCATTGCACTGATTCACAACTTAACAGCATTGTTTTTAACAAGGATGCATCAAGTATCGTTGATCATGTATTTTATTTCAATTCTACTGGGGAAGATCGGAGTTTTATATACCATGTCAACAAAACCGGCTTTTATTGTGTCGCAGCGTAAGTTGTAATTACTCTAGCAATTATATTTTTTTAATGCTAAAATCGTTAAAACCTCATTTATACTTAATTCAGGCTTTCTTTTGAAGGTAAAGGTGGAGATTTTATGATAAGAATTGATTGGAGAAATCCGTATGGAGAACTACCTGCTTCCGATTATCCAAAATTACCGGTACTTTTATAAAATTGCTATAATATAATATATATTCGCGTAATTTGACTGATGTATATAATTATTAAGTTTTATGGACTCTTATCACTGGTTTATTTGGTTATTGGAGTTATATGGATGACGCTTAGTATTATACATTGGCGAGATATTTTACCAATACAGGTATTAACTGTATTATACTATAATTTCTCAGGTCTTTTTATTTATGATATTAACATAATTTAATTATTCTTTAGAATTATATCTCAAGCGTGATTCTATTTCTCATGTTGGAAATGGCTTTCAATTGGGGATATTGGGAGAATTATAATAACTATGGGGTATCATGTAAGCCACAGATACATATACAACAAATCTAAACTAGGCAAAGCTCATCAATTTTATATTTTAGCAACATTTCTCCTTTGCCTTGTTGTTGCTCTCAACGCCGGAAGAAACTCTATTTCATTCTTTATGCTATTGATTGTTTGCATGGGATATGGTGTAGTCAAGTAGGATATTTTTTAATTTTAATAGATTTTTTTTTTAAGAGAGGTCTTTCCTCTATTTCTTTATTTCAAAATATATAATTAGATACAACTTATACAAATTTATATATTAAACGAAAGAGAATAGAAGTTAGAGCTAGAATTTACTCTCGACCTATTCTTAGCTAAAATGGTCAAAAAACCTCTAAACTGTGCAATTAGTGAGTAGGATGTGGAATTATAGTAGATAAAATTGTTAAGCCATGTAATAAATTGTCTATTTAGTAAACTAAGAGGTTTATCAATTTTTAGGGAAGTAATAATAACTAAAGGATTAGAAGTAGTTTGCTGTTTGTATATTCGACTTGGTTTCTATATCTCTTCATATATACTTTTAGTAATTATATGGTATATTTGGGAAATTATAGTATTATTTTGAGAAAGTGATTCTAGCTTTAAAGATATAGTTGAGTTGATAAATCTGATTGGAATTCAGTTTTGAAAATGTATTATGATAAAGTCTTGTATAAAGTCCTACATTGATGATGTGTTTGTTTTATTTGTTTGGCACACTTTGGTTATTGCTTTGCATATGATTTCTTCAATATTTGTTGGGTTATATGGGCATGTGAGTATGTGGACCATATCTTCAAGTATTTGTGGATATTTTGTACAAAAGGGATTGGGATGTGTTGATAGGTTCCTGTGGTATAAGTGTAGATAAGTTGGCAACTTTAAGGTTAGTAGTTTTACTTTGAAAGTTTTTAATATTAATTTGGTCAGACAGGTATTTCTACTAAGTGGGTTATCTTGATAATTTAAGTAGTTGAAGGTTAATTTCTAGTTAATATTGGGGAGTTGTTGTATTATTGATTTGATTTAGTTTTGTTCATTCTATTTGATAGTGGCTTTTGCTTTTTGAATGATTTTAGATAGTTAGTAGATGGAATATATTGTAGGGGTGCTATTTATACAAGAAGTAAAGTTAGAATTCAATACTGTTTGTGTTGAAAGATTAGTGTGTAGTTGGAGATTTGGTATTAGAATCTTGATTTTCTTTTTTACTAAGTTTGTATTTATGGTGTGGTTCTTGGCTAGAATGATTGCTCTTATTGTTGATATAATATTGTTAAATAAGATTTTGCGGAGATGTTGTTGATGATATGATGGGAGGTTGAGTATAGATTGAATTTTTGATTAAAGTTATCTTTTATTAGTAAAAATGTTTATTTTGGTTTGAAGAGGAAGAATCATATAGATTATTGCTAGTGTTGTGAATATTGTATAGGTATGAGATAGAAAAGATTTGTTTGTAATATGCCAAATTTGTTGATTGTGTTGGAATTGGATCTGTGAAAATAAAATTTTTATTTTGTTAGTTGTGTTTATCTTCTTTGATTTGGCTATAATATATACTTGTAGATGTTTTGAGAAATTAGAGTTAGTGTATAGTGTTCAAATTTGGGTTTTAATATCTTCAAATAGTTGTAGAAAGCGGTATGTGGTTTGATATTCTATTGTTGATAAGGGGGTTAGGTTGTATTTCGGGGAAGCAGAAGATATTAATGGGTGCAGTAAGCAGCTAAGTTGTCTATGGATTTGTTTTTTACAATTTACTTAAATATTGTATATTGATTTAACTAGGGCTATAAAGAAACAGAATTTAGTTTTAAGCAAGTAATTTTTTTTCAGACATCCTAAGCAAGGAACAAGTTGTTTTGGGTTAAGTAGGTGTTGGGTATAATATTTGATTCTTGCTAAGTTGTTTGCTACTCGAGTGATTTTGCCAAATTTTTTGTTATAGGTCATAATCTATTTAAAGGTATCTGGGTTAATTAGTGTGAATATGAAAGGATTAGGGAAGATTAGTGTGATGGATGGGTTAGAGGATTTAGTTATTTTGTTAGTGATGTTTTTAAACCATTGGGGAGTTTTTCTGGTATTTTTTGAATATTGTGATGAAATGAGTGCCAGTTTAAGATATAAGTGTTGGTATAGTTTAAAAATTGTTCTATGTAGATGATATTATATATATTTAATTTGTGCTTGATTACTGCCGATTGTTTAATAGAGATTAGAATTGAGTTAATTGATGTACTGTTAAGTTGTTTTAGAATTAGCATGGGTTGGTTGAACATGCTAATTGAATGTTTAGATTATGAAGTGTTATTATTAGTTGTGCAGTGTTTGTTTTATATTTATTTGTGGGGAAGATTGGTTATTTGAAAAAGATTGATTGGTTGGAATTGGCCACATTTTGGAGTTGTTGTAGCCTTATCTTGATGCTTGAATTATTGAATTCTTGTGATTAAATGCTGTAGTTCAAGGTTCTGATTTGTTGTTGTTGTTGAATATTGTAAAGTGTATTTAATACGTATATTGAAGAGTGATGGATTATAGAATTAGGTGTTGATCAAGATAGTTGTGCTTTCTGTTTTACTATATTAGTATATAGCTTTGTGATTTTAGAGTATGCGTATTTGTTAAATATGTGCTTTGCATTTAATAAGTAGCCCAAGTAAGAATCACATTGTTGATAATGTAGATAGCTTGTTTATCTGTAATTTTTGCATATTGAATTTTGTTAATATTGGTAATAATTTTATTTGTAATAATGGCTTTTGCTGCTCTTAGTGAGGGGTCTTGGAAAAGCTACACCCTCAAATGGTAGAAGATATCTTTCAGTTTTATATTAATAATAGTTTGTTCACAAAAGGTAATGGATGCTTGTGAGTCAGGATTGTTGGATATTAACGTTGATTTGTGTGAGTTAACTTTAATACTTGTATAGAATAAGAAGGAGTCGACTATTTTAAGTATATCTTTTAGTTCATTTTTGCTTTTGGCAATCCATACTGTATCATCTATGTATGCTACTACTAAAGTATGTATTGATATTGTCTTTTGAGGAGTATTTGTATCTAGTGAGTATCTTTGGAATATAGTATTGATTTAGCTAATTAATAGATCATAGTAGATCCTCCAAAGTATTGGGATGAAGATTTCTCCCTAGTTAATTTCATCTTGTACTATATAGAGTTTGGTCATTCCAATATCTGTTATTACTATGTTTTTTCTGCTGTTTAAGAGATGACTTAGTAAGTTAGTGAATTTTGTAGGAATCTGAATTCTTTGTAGAGTTTTTATAAAGAGAGAGATGTGGATAGTGTCGTATGCCTTGAACATGTCTTGTGCTAGAACCTAGTATTCTTTGTCAGTAATATTTACATGTTCGATAATGTGTATTACAGTTTGAATAGGTTGGAGAGTTGAGGTGTATAAGAGAACTACATTATTGTTTTTTGAAAAAATTTGGTACTTGTTAAGTATGTGGCTTAAGTGAAGTGTTAGTATTTTTGTGAAAATTTTTCATACATGTTCAATTAGTATAATAGGGCATGTGTAGTTTAAGTCGTTGTTGTAGTATTGTTTTTTTGGAATAGCCTATATATTTGCTATCCTCTAGCCTTTTGGTGTCTGTTCTAATTCTAGACTTGCATTGAAGATTAGAAGTAGTAATGATATTGCAATATAAAGTAGATATTTTAACATTTTGTTGAATATTCCAGATGGCCCTGTAGCTTTATGTGTAGGAGCAGCATTGATTAAGTGGGTTAATTCATTGTAGGTAGGTTGTTGTAGATGTGTGACGAAATGTTAAGAAGAGTTACAAATAGAGTATCTAATCGTGTTTGAAGTTTGGGTTTGTTGGGTTAGACTTGGTCTAGTTGTTGAAGTAAGCTCTTGTTGCTTGTTTTATTTCCTTAGAATTTGTGATTATTTTATCAGAGATAATTATTTTGTCATATAAAATGTTTGCTTTCTTGCAACTTAGTATACTATTGATTATTTTTGAGATGTTTTTTTCCATATCATTGTAATGTCGCTAAATATAGAAGTTTATTTTTTCCTTTTGTACTGCTTTTGTTTCTATGCTTTGGGCTTTCCATATAGTGTTTTTCAAGTTTTTTAAATCTAAAAGGAAGTAGCTATAGTTTGATATTAGATCTGTAGGTTGACAAGATGTTGTTTGTATTTCAGTTAAAGCATTTATTTAATTGAGGGAGGTATTAATAGTCTAAACTACAAAGATAGATGAATGTGGGGGTTGAATTGTACGAGCAGTTCAAAGTATATTGTTAATTGTTTTGAGTACTATATAGAGCTTGGTAGCTTTTACTGAAAAAGAATGGAAGGTTTTCTGTGATTTAAAGGTTGTTGGTATTTCTCTATTAGCAATTTTCTTAATTGTGTTTGACCATTTGTTCCAGTGTTTGTTGAGCTGGTCATAGTTTGTAGGGGGGAATAAGATGTTTAGGGTTGAAAACTCATTTTTTATTGCTTTGGAAAAGTCCTGTCACAAGTCAGAATTCATTTGTTTGTAGAGGTAGATTTTTTTTTTCTTTTTCTTAGACCTTGGAAGTTTGAGGTTGAAGTTAGTTGTTCATATAGTTTGGATGATCTTATGGTCACTGTTAGTAATCCTAATTGGGTTAATCAGTATAGGTGAGCTGAAATTGAGTATAATTTCTGGGTTAATCCAAATACCATCGATTTGACTCTGTAGAGAGCCCTGTTTTCAGATGGGTTCTGTGATTGAGAAGAAATCTAGAAGGCTTGAGAATAATAAGGATTGCAAAGTAAAGAATAGTTTAAAAGTTCTTTTGCAGCATTTAGTATTATTATTAAAGTCCCTGAGAGTGATAGTATGCAAATTTTTATGTTTTGCTTCAAGGAACCAATTTGTGATTGTGTTTTGGATTGAAGTTGATTAGTTGGAGTGATTGGAAGATAGATACAGGGATATAAGTCAGAGTTTGTTGTTGGATGGGAGGTGGAAATCAATACATAATGCAGTGCCTAAAAACATTTGTATGTTGTGGATACTGTATACAGTTGTAGAGCTTTATGAAGTGCAATTGCAGTACCAAGGCTTGCTTCATGTTGTATTTTGTTTTTTGGAGAGAAATTTGATGTATATATATTGTAATATGAG